CCGTTGTATCGCCACATTTTTCCAAATAGTATTGCTCTAAAAAATGTTTTCTTTTATCATAATTGTCTTTTTTTTTTTCTTTTTTCTTTTTGCATAGTTTAAAATCAATCTATGAGTACTACTCATTTGATCAAGCATTGCTTAATAGTTTCTAGTCACGGAATTTTGCACGTTAGGTGATGACATTGTACTAACGGTGGTTATGTAATCATTTTAATTTTGACTTCTCTGTCAACATGCGGCAATAACTTGCATTTGCAATGTTTGTCTCTTTATTTATGTCTACACGGGCATTCAGGAAATACTTTTTAATGGACATTAAAACATCACGAGACAACTTAATGTTCATTTTTCATGAAGAAATCCAGGTTTCAATTGCAACGGTGAGTATAAAATTATTTGTTTACAAAAACTTGTGGGACGATACACAAGGAAGTTCTGAAGCAGGTGCGCGATGTTATATCTCAATAACAATTTCCATAACCGGTAGAATAATCTTAGTATGAATTTAATTAAATTTGGATCTCTTTGAATAAAAATTGACATATCAGACACTCACGCTAGCATGTAATTGCACTGATGTTTGACCTATATGAACAAGGTACCCACCTATGTAAAGGGATTATGAGGACCGCACAAAATAAGTCAAAACTCTATAAAAAAAAAAGAAGGTATTTTGTCAGTATTACAATAATTTTTCCAATTTCATTCTGGTCACTAGTTTAAAATAAATATACGTGTTACTGTTTTACCCCATTGGGCGGAACTCATGCAATTTGCAAAGAAAACAATCAATTTGAAATTTGTTTACTTGTCGTATAATGCAATTAACTTCAACCATATTGAATACTGCAACTTAAACGTGCTGGAAAATCCTTCTTATAGAAAGGAAGTATATAGAGAAGGATGACAAATAAAGTCTACAACTTTAAATGAATATAAAGGTTATAATCTAATATTAGAAAAAACTAAAATGAACGAGGAATTGAACGTCACGATATACACATGCGGGACAAAAGTTATTTGTAGCTAATGCCAATAATCTAAGATATTTAGATTTCTCATACTGGCAGATAAAACAGTTTCCTTAAATATATTCCGATACTCCTTTTAATGTGAAATATTTGGACATTTCTGGACTTAACTCAACCAATCTTATTCATGAGACGTCAGTTCCGTTTTTTAAAAATGTCAAAACAGCTATTTTAAAAACATTCAATGCTTGGTTTAACAATTGGAAAGACTGGTAAAATATTCAAACTTTTTCCGGCTATGAAAACACGAGATATATCATACAACAACTTATGGTATCTGGATGAAGATGCCTTTGAAACAAACTTAAACTTGTCAAATGTCAATATTGCACACAATTTAGTGCCAGCTATACCAATAGCATTGAATTTACCATGCCATAAGTAAATTTGATATAAGTTACAAACGCCATTAAACAATTAATAAAACATTAAGAGATTGGATAGATAAGAAAATTAGAATCTTTGAAGGAACATTTAATTTGTCCGTAGAAGGGAACAGTATAACATGCACCTGCGACACATCCGATTTTATAAGGTGGCTTTTCAGAACAAATGTTGTTTTTGATCGGGTTAATAAAAACTTCAGCTGTACATTGACAAATGGATCGGAAAGTAACACAATGGATGTCTACAAAAGATTTCATTAACGCTTTAGCAACTGCAATAGCAAAAATTGGTTGCTCGTAGGAATAGGACTTCTTGTCGCTTTTGTCATTTTCACTGTTCCGTTTGCAGCTATTTTTGATTTCAGATGGAAAATAACTTTTTGGATATACCGTTAATTTAAAAGAGTAGTAGAGCATAAATTAGAAAGAAAATTTAATTATGATATTCACTTGTCATATGCAGATGACATGCCTCAGTGGATTCAAGGCAATTTTCCTCAGATAATAGTGCTTCATGGCACATAAAAGTATGGGTAGAGGACCGCGATTTGCAAATTGGAGTAGCGAAAGCAGATGAAATAGCACATGCTATTGCTAGCAGCAAACATGAAATTTTTAGATGAGTCGTACAAGGATAACGAGTGGAACAAATTTGAAATCGAAAGAGTCAAATTCGAAAAATGTAGAAATTACATGCAGAAGATAATCATCCTTGTAAAAGAAGCTTCACTTCGGATACCTGTGTTCCACATAAAATGGCCGACATTTTACAAAATATATATATATTGGATACGATGTACCAAGGTAAATAATTGCCAAATTGGTCTAATATTTACAGAGTGTTATTTTCTTATCAAAACCATTGATATAAGGCAATTACCTGATTTTTTTGCAATTTTTGAAATTTTAAAAATCGTATTTTCACCCCAAATTCAAAATTCAAAATGAGAACTTAAAACTTTTAACTCAAACACGGTCTTCTTAAAATTGTGAATGCCTAAGCAGATATTTGAATACTTAATTCTCATCTTCGAAAAAAAGTGTCATCATTTTCCGGAGAAATAAATTTGCCCCATGTGTTAAATAACACGTAATTTTCACTTTTCAATTTGGTCAGATTCTTTTAATCATATGCATTTGCTTTGCAAATGTGTGTTTTTCATTGGATAATTTAACAGTTTTTTCCTATTAATTATATTTTATGATAAATTGAAGTTCAAACTTTTGTATCGTTACTTGTGTTGAGTATTATATACGTAAAAAGATTCAAATAGGTCGATCAATCGGAATGTATTAGTAGGAGTCTATTATTGATATGAATTTTAAGAAATCCCCAACCCAGGTGGGACCTCAAAACTATATAATTATACAGTTTTTTTTCCATATTTTCCATATCTCTGAGGAAGCTGTAACATATACGATAGTATTGGCAAACACAACGATTAAGGCAAAGCAATAAACTTATCTAACATGGAGATAATAATTCGCGTTTAGCAGCCAGATGTTTCAGATGGTTAAGTTTTATCAAAATAAAGTAAGAAACATCGCTGATGAATTATTCAGTTGCAACTACCTCGACCTCATTGAATCCGTTTTCGTGTTACCTTCGATTCAAACCCTTAGCTATAAGCTATGCTATATACATGTATAGATAGTTTAAAATTGCTTGTAATAGGAGTTTTTCTTGTTTGTATTTTCCCTCGTGGCTAATGAGATTCAGTGTCAATATTTAATGATTCATTATTTTCCACAGAAGGAAATGTATAACCCAGTCAGAAATGTAATAGTTATTTCCATTCGTATGCTGTGTTTGAGCTTATGACTTTACGATTTGATAACGGGCTTTCCGTTTAGAATTTGCCTTGAGTTCGGTATTGTTGTTATTATTATTATTATTATATATATTTTTGTTGCCGTATACAACTTACAGAATTCCTACATAAACACCCATCTGGTTCAGCTAGATATCTATTTACACTTAATTCTATCTTCATTTTTATTTAGTATCTCAGTCTGTATAGCAATGATTCAAAATGCACATTGAGACCATCATTAAATTTACAAATGTCGTTTTTGATCAGGTAAATAAAAATGTAATCTACACCTTGCCAAATGGATCGGAAAGTAACACCGTGGTTGTCTACAGTCGATTTCATGAACACTTTGGCAACTACAAGAGCAAAACTTATTGCCCTTATGAATAGGAGTTTTTTTTACTGTTCCATTGGCAATGTATTTGAATTTCCGATGGAAAATAACTAATTGGATATATCGTACATTTGTCAGTGGGTTCATGATGACTTTCTACTAAGAATAGTATGTTTATGGCATACGAAAGTATGCACAGAGGACCACAATTTTTTGTATTGGAGGTGATAAAGCAGATGAAATAGCAAACGATATTGTGGTAGCAAACATGTAATATTTATCATCCTTCCCTACCGCTATATCAGCTTCCTCAACATATCTTTAAAACACGTAGCATGTTAGCACGTGCAGCTAGTAGATACTGTTGTCTGCTCTTTGGTCGGGTTGTTGTCTCTTTGACACATTCCCCATTTCCATTCTCAATTTTATTCCTGCCTTTTATCCTGGTTGACACATACCCTGCATCAGCTACCTATTGTTTTTGGTTGTAAATATTGTCCTGAAATAATGCCACTTGATGTGAAGAAACAATAATCACTCAATCAAAACTTTTTAATCCATCGGGTAGTATTACCTTTTGTATGTGACACCATGAGATTGTTGGTCCTATTTCTTTGGGCCTGACATAAATCAAAATTAGCGCCCCAGAAACAGTAGTTTCTAATTCTATAAGAACTAATAAGGAGTCATATTTCATCTGACGTGACTTAGTTTTCCAATACCAAGGAACTTAAAAACAATACAAGAGCAACAGTAGCCAATATGAAATTATCTTTCATCACAAGATTTGTGAAGACACCATAATTAGCATTTTGTGTTAATTGAAATACATAAGCTGGGATGACATTTCTTACTTGGGAATCAAAACTGACAATTAGTTTATTTCCGGGTTCTACAATTGGTCAATTCCAATTTGGTCAATTTTCCATATCAGCTGGGAAGGTGATAATTTAACTTGTTTAGAATAATTTGTGGGGTATTTGCTGATGTGTAACAAATAAAGAAGTATTCCTTTTGTTTGTAATATGCGTTTTCATATATGTCAAAAACATCCAGAATGAATGAATATAATGATCGGATTTTAAAGCTTCTTTCTGCATCTTTTGGCAATTGCATTTAACTTGTGATGGTAAGCTGATATTTTTTAAAATACCATGAAACTTTGTAAACAGAGAAAACATTTGTATGTTGTCATGTCAATGCAAATGGCAACTGATTGTTTTTCTAAACAAATTGGGCAAAATCTTTAGAATACTTTAACTATCAGCAAAAATATTTGCATAGATCGTGGACAATTGGTGAACGACAACGATGATTTAAATTATACGTGGTTAGTAATGTTATAAATTATTAATTTACTGATTATGTCGAGTCTATATTTAGACAGTACAACTTCCTTTAATTATTCTATTTTTGATTTATTTAGATGAGTGGCAGGCACAAAGTACACAAAATTTATTTGGAGTGCTTTGTTAACAGTTGTAAACATTAAGTTAAATGACAAACAATCGTCTTGAAAAGAGTAGATAATTTATTAGCTCTGTTGGTATCTACAACGAATCACATGTACAAGGTAAGAAGCATAATATATATTTTGCTATTATAGCACGATGTTGATACAATATTAAAATAGTTATAATACTGCACATCAGTATAAAGAGGCACAATCTTTATTTACAAAATTAACAAGTATAGGTCAAAGTGCGGCCTTCAACATGATGTCTTGGCTCACTGCGAACTGCAAGCTACAAAGGCATACAACATAACCAGTGTAAAACAGTTAACAGGAAAACTGATATATTTAAACAACAAAAAAAAAACAACGAGAAACCAGAAACACTTATGGAAATTTTCCTGTCGGTTTTCAAAAGCATCCCGGATGTGAAAAACTTAGCTTGAGACAAATTGTATGATAAGAATGCACATCATATTTAAAACACTTTTAAATGTTACCTATGACAGCTAATGTTCTTGTAGTATAACGACGTCTCACTGCTTCCTCACGCTACTAGTATATTAGTTCACAAAAGTCATCAAGCCCTCTTTAAAGGATTGATTATCGACCAGTTTTATATAACTTACATTTTTAAAGAATTCACCGCCGTCATCCTGTTCTACTCGAGCATGATGTTCATTATCACATTTGTGACTAGTTTCCAGTTTTCTAGTTTAAACATATTTAATGTTCAACATGACAAATGGATCAGACACAAGTTTTACAACTTAGTAACGTCTTCTCCAAAACAACAAAAAATATACACATTAATTAATGAACACATCAAATATTTTATACAAACAAATAATTCAAGCATAAAGACATGAATACAAAAGGAAACTTGTTGAAGCGAATCAATGGATTTTAATCGAGTGCATCTTTTTACAGTTTTAAATAAAACACAAACACACCTAATTGTTTGTGTGGAATTATCTATGCGCAAATTATTTCTTGTGTAGAAATAACTTCAAGTGTTAATAAGTGTGTGTGTGTTTTTCATAATAATGCGTGGGATCTAAATATAAAATACAAAACAATTGGTGAACGACAACGATGATTTAAATTATATGTGGTTAGTACTTCCAATTTGTATCAATTAAAATGTACTTTCAGTTCTTAATCAATTTTAGTTATATATTCACCCTTTGTTTTTTGACATGACGACAACTTAATGATGATTATAAACCACTTATCAATTAAAATGTACTTTCAGTTCTGCTGAATTGATACGATATTCCCGGGCTTGTATTCCTATCATGATTTCATATCATGATTTCCTTGATAGATGATTGCTGATCACAAGGAAGCTATTAAACCAAGAGTCCCTTTGTAAATTTTACGGACGATATCACGAGTTGGTTGACCGTTACTGAATATCCGTTTCACAGATTGCATCGGATATGTTCCTAATGTCGTAACTACAATCCCGTTCCTTTCCACGAATGTGACCTACCGAATTAGACTATGTACCAGGTTTTTAATAACATGAGCAACATGACGGGTGCCACATGTGGAGCAGGATCTGCTTACCCTTCCGGAACATCTGAGATCACCCAAGTTTTTGGTGGGGTTCGTGGTGCTTAGTCTTTAGTTGTCTATGTTGTGTCTTTTGTACTATTGTTTGTCTGTTTGTCGTTTTCTTTTTTACCCATGGCGTTTTCAGTTTATTTTTATCTATGAGTTTGAATGTCCCTCTGTTATCTTTCGACCCTCTTTTATCAAAATACATTAGGTTTAGAAAGTCATTTATTTTTAAGATTGGTTTTCAAAATCCTTATGGAACATGGGTATATTTGAACATGGGAGGTCAATATTCAATTTTGACAAATGAAAAAGAATGCTGTATATGTTTGGGCACTCAAAGCTTTTTCATTTATATATAATTACTTATTAATTAGCATCATACCTTTAGGAGATTGAATTATATCATACTCGGTTATATGAAGTTCTTTGATATTGTGATATCTAAGATAAACAGCATGCAATCTTCTTGTCACTAACAAATGCAGATAAATAATTTTCTATATCTAGAATGGTACTTGGAATAAGGGTTCCATTCATCAAAACTTTACAAGAGTTCATGATTTTGGACCATTGAATCGGGAGGGGAAATTCTCTAAGTGGATGTATTTTGTAGGTTGAAATTATATTGACCTCTTGATTCATAACAATATTATACTATATATGTTTGTATTCATTCTTAAGTTGGCATTAATAAGTATAAGTTCATAAAAAAACATAAAACGTGACTATACAAATCAGTATTCTTTTGGCTTAAATAACCTGATTGGTACGCAGCACAAAAAAGCAATTATCATAAAAACAACAGACACAAAGAATTCATTTAAGATGACTCTCAGTCACTGAAGGCTAGTTTAACGCCAGCAACTAATATATAAGACCTGTTCTCCCATAATAAAGTATCAATTAGTCATCCATCGGATTTAGGCAATACCAAAATATAGGTAAATATGGTTGTTTACTGTCTGCTTAGTGACGTACACTGTTAATGAATTTGGGCAAACGCTTCCCAGAGCACACTAATTCAATTTGATTTGTTTGCTTTTTATTTCAAGTATGGAAAATTCTGCTTGTCTATTTTAACTATTTATGTACTTCGTAAACCGTTAGTTTGGTGATGTATCAAGAGCTCTTGCTAGTTTTGTCTTTTATTAAAATAAGAACCCATTCAGAAGTGCTGAATGTATGCTAATTTATAAGAGTTAATACAGGGTACATCAAACTTTTATTATGATTTTAAATTAACTATTTCCTTTTTTCACTTAAAGCATAATACAATGTATAGTCTTTTATATTATATTACTCAAGAGGTAGCCATATCACATGTCAATGTAGTATCAACTTTACAGTACTGTTACTTCTCTGTGCGTTAACACGTGTTAAGCAATTTCTCCCTTTAAAAAATATAACTTAATATATAAATGCTGATTCTATTTTCTTTAAAAAAAAAAGTGTTTCACAAATACGTGACTAATTGGTGTTAAACGTCACTTTCAGCACTATTTCGTAGCGGTCAGTTTTTATTGCTAGGGGAAACCGGAGTATCCGTAGAGAAGCACCGACCATGGGTAGTCAATTAAGATTGGAGTTCACCCACCACGTGAGGGAATTCGAACTCTCAACCTCAGTGTTAACAGATCAGTGGTTCAGTAGTTTGACTACTTATACCAACAGGACAACAAGGCTCTAGAGATTGTTAGTAAACACATTTATAATCATCTGTTTGAATTGTTTTACACTTGTCCTTTTGGATCCTTTATAGCTTTCTGTTCGGTGTGAGCAGTTGCTTCGTGTTGCAAACCGTTCTTAGACCTATTATAGTTTACTTTTTACAAATTGAGACATGGATGGAGAGTTCATTGGTACTCAAACCACATCTTCTTATATCTAATTAAGTTAAAGAAGGTTACTATTATAATCATTCATGAATATAAAGTACATATTTTGGCCATTATAGAGTTTACTTGTCAAAAATATATCTAATGTTGGTGAGACAGCAACCGATTATTTACCTTAGGAAAGATAGAGGCAATACAGTCTCACAAGAAATGACAGGTGTCTATTAAGTATGTCAAGATCTAAGCCGTTAAAGGTGTTGCGATAAATATGACAAATCAGCATGCAAAATAAACCCATCCGAAACATCATCAACATATGACTTGACAATTTTGAGTTTATAATGTTATAAATTATTAATTTACTGATTATATCGAGTCTATATTTAGACAGTACAACTTCCTTTAATTATTCTATTTTTGATTTATTTAGATGAGTGGCAGGCACAAAGTACACAAAATTTATTTGGAGTGTTTTGTTAACAGTTGTAAACATTAAGTTAAATGACAAACAATCGTCTTGAAAAGAGTAGATAATTTATTAGCTCTTTCGGTATCTACAACGAATCATATGTACAAGGTAAGAAGCATAATATATATTTTGCTATTATAGCACGATGTTGATACAATATTAAAATAGTTATAATACTGCACATCAGTATAAAGAGGCAAAACAACATGAAATATTATTTTCAGATGTCTTCATGAAGTTCTTTTTCTGGACTGAATTTCTAGCCTTTTTCTATTGGTTAAGACTATTGGTCTATAGCTGTTCAGTCATACTTTTCGATAATTCTTCTATGGTTTTTTTTTGGTTTTTGTTTATGTTGTTTGTTTTGTTCACATATTAATGATTTTTTTTCTTAAAGATATAGTTAACTCACGTACCTTGAATAAAAAAAAACATCCAGGTAAAAATCTGAAAAATGAAGCATCTTGATAACATTTCAATGGTCTATCTTATATTTTCCTGTGAATTGTGCATCCAAAAAATAGAACAGCCCTCTTTGTTGATAATTGGGTTTTTTTTCATCCATTTTGTTGGGTAAATGATTATGAATTTACTTATTTGTAAACAACCGAAGAAGAAAACTTATTTCCTAATTCTTTTCCTAGTTTGCGTTTCAATTGATTGATGAGAAAGAGGATAAAAATTGAAAAGCTAGTGTGAACACCGAAAAATACCAAGACCTTATAAATAGATTTTCAGTGATTACTTTACAAGTACTACATGTTGTTCTTCCCTTTACTATTTTACGTGCTTACGAAATGTATCATTTTATTTACTTTACAGTTTTTCCCTTATTACCATGTGTGCTGCTTTGTTAATATTGGTCGTATATCTCTCGTCGTGACTCGGCATTCATTCATCCAATTATAATGTTTTAGACTTTGGGCATTATTGGTGCAAATGGGTCTAGAGGTGCGTTTCGAACCTAGGGGTTTTTACAGTTTCGTTTTCATTTGTAAAACCTTGTATCTATATTTTACTTAATGTGTACTCTTTCGTGAAAATGTATACTTAATACTGTATGAACTATCAACTACATAAACTTTGGTTTTTGACGTTTTTGCAAGATATACTTGTCTTATTGTTTGCATTTAAGGTCAGTTGTAGGGTATGCATGTGATGTAAGTTTACAAAGTTTTGGCTGCTGGATCCCAACTATTGACACATTAACTAGTTGTGTCTGTTTTGGTTGCTCATCCAAAACTTGTCAATGAAACATAGGTTCAATCATTTGTTTTCTACGGACATGCATGTGCCAAGTCAGGAATAAGACATGGGATTTCTATCGTTCAGTTTGTAGATAAAGTCTTACGTTTGATTTTGTCAGTTTTCATGGATTTCCCCTTTTCATTTTACTTTGCAGTTAGTCATGGTTGTTATAATTTTTTTGGATTAGTCATGGAATTCCCATATTATTTATGACAGATATAAAAAGGATTCCCGTTACGTGAAACAGTTATGCCCATTTTTTTTTAACAGTGCATTTTTTTTTTTTTAATTTATTTCAGAAAGGAAAGATAATCTTTTGTTTACTTTTACATTAAGTCTAGTAGGTAAGAAGTACTGTGATGGCACCTTCAAAATGATTTTTTTTATTTACCTTGTTTTTTGTATATTAATTCTTAGTGATTTCAATTGTTTTGACGTTTACGAACCAATATACGTGTTTTCATTCACGATGTGAAAAACATTTTTGCCGTTGAATGTTGACTGCCGTCATCTCTATGTTGGTTTTGTATTTTGTCGGATCCCCTTCAAATTATTCTATATCAATGTGGCCTCTTGGAATTTGAGGTAAAGTTTCCAATCATCAGAGCCTCAATTGCATATGATGGTCAGAAAAATCTGATCTAGAGAATAAAGTAATGGGCAGGGAAGGTAACGAACGAAATATATTTAAATGTACCTTTTATGTCGTAATTTTACTGCCCAATTGGTAATAAGTTGACATAACTTGTTAGACAAGTATGCTTTTCGAAATCTTTATTGAAATCAATTATGCCTAAAGGATGCCAAAAATTGGCAGGCAGTTCCCTTTTCATGTTAAGGGCGGAGATATTTGATCTCGCTTATTACGGGTCTTTGATTCTTTTTATGATATTCACTGACGTCAGGTTGTTAGTTGAAATTTTTTGGTGTTTCAATATTCAAAGGTAGTTTTTTTTTGCTTATAACATGGTAAGAGATTACTCACCATTAATGACAGTATGGTAACCGGTGGTTGTTTATATATGCGTTCTATTGTTCTGTAATCATTAACATTTGTAAATGAGAATACAAGGATTTGATATTTATGATATGATTGATTCAAATTTAGAATACCATCTTTCCATTAAGTCATAGATTTTATTAAAACAATTTTCAATCAGCAATTACACACCAATTGATATAGACCATGCTCACAATAGTAAACAGGTTGTTTTCGTAACATTTAAATCTGGGGTCATCACTAAAAGCATAAATAAGAATATATGGTTTGAGTGCCAATGAGACAACTCTCCGTTTAAGCCACAATGTATATTTACAAAATTTACAATTATAGGTCAAAGTGCGGCCTTCAACATGATGCCTTGGCTCACTGCGAACTGCAAGCTACAAAGGCATAAAACATAACCAGTGTAAAACAGTTAACAGGAAAACTGATATATTTAAACAACAACAAAAAAAAAACAACGAGAAACGAGAAAAACTTATGGAAAGTTTCCTGTCGGTTTTCAAAAGCATCCCGGATGTGAAAAACTTAGCTTGAGACAAATTGTATGATAAGAATGCACATCATATTTCAAACACTTTTAAATGTTACCTATGACAGCTAATGTTATTGTAGTATAACGACGTCTCACTGCTTCCTCACGCTACTAGTATATTAGTTCACAAACGTCATCCAGCCCTCTTTAAATGATTGATTATCGACCAGTTTTATATAACTTACACTTTTAAAGAATTCACCGCCGTCATCCTGTTCTACTCGAGCATGATGTTCATTATCACATTTGTGACTAGTTTCCAGTTTTCTAGTTTAAACATATTTTATTGTTCAACATGACAAATGGATCAGACACAAGTTTTACAACTTAGTAATGTCTTCGCCAAAACAACAAAAAATATACACATTAATTATTGAACACATCAAATATTTCATACAAACAAATAATTCAAGCATAAAGACATGAATACAAAAGGAAACTTGTTGAAGCGAATCAATGGATTTTAATCGAGTGCATCTTTTTACAGTTTTAAATAAAACACAAACACACCTAATTGTTTGTGTGGAATTATCTATGCGCAAATCATTTCTTGTGTAGAAATAACTTTAAGTGTTAATAAGTGTGTCTGTGTGTGTTTGTCATAATAATGCGTGGGATCTAAATATAAAATACAAAACAATTGGTGAACGACAACGATGATTTAAATTATACGTGGTTAGTACTTCCAATTTGTATCAATTAAAATGTACTTTCAGTTCTTAATCAATTGTAGTTATATATTCACCCTTTGTGTTTTGACATGACGATAACTTAATGATGATTATAAACCACTTATCAATTAAAATGTACTTTCAGTTCTGCTGAATTGATACGATATTCCCGGGCTTGTATTCCTATCATGATTTCATATCAAGATTTCCTTGATAGATGACTGCTGATCACAAGGAAGCTATTAAACCAAGAGTCCCTTTGTAAATTTTACGGACGATATCACGAGTTGGTTGACCGTTACTGAATATCCGTTCACATATTGCATCGGATATGTTCCTAATGTCGTAACTACAATCCCGTTCCTTTCCACGAATGTGACCTACCGAATTAGACTATGTACCAAGTTTTTAATAACATGAGCAACATGACGGGTGCCACATGTGGAGCAGGATCTGTTTACCCTTCCGGAACATCTGAGATCACCCAAGTTTTTGGTGGGGTTCGTGGTGCTTAATCTTTAGTTGTCTATGTTGTGTCTTTTGTACTATTGTTTTTCTGTTTGTCTTTTTCTTTTTTACCCATGGCGTTTTCAGTTTATTTTTATCTATGAGTTTGAATGTCCCTCTGTTATCTCTCGACCCTCTTTTATCAAAATACATTAAGTTTAGAAAATCTTTTATTTTTAAGATTGGTTTTCAAAATCCTTATGGAACATGGGTATATTTGAACATGAGAGGTCAATATTCAATTTTGACAAATGAAAAAGAATGTTGTATATGTTTGGGCACTCAAAGCTTTTTCATTTATATATAATTACCTATTAATTAGCATCATACCTTTAGAAGATTGAATTATATCATACTCGGTTATATGAAGTTCTTTGATATTGTGATATCTAAGATAAACAGCAAGCAATCTTCTTGTCACTAACAAATGCAGATAAATAATTTTCTATATCTAGAATGGTACTTGGAATAAGGGTTCCATTCATCGAAACTTGACAAAAGTTCATGATTTAGGACCATTTAATCGGGAGGGGAAATTCTCTAAGTGGATGTATTTTGTAGGTTGAAACTATATTGACCTCTTGATTTATAACAATATTATACTATATATGTTTGCATTCATTCTTAAGTTGCGATTAATAAGCATAAGTTCATAAAAAAACATAAAACCTGACTATACAAATCAGTATTCTTTTAGCTTAAATCACCTGATTGGTACGCAGCACAAAAAAGCAATTATCATAAAAACAACAGACACAAAGAATTCATTTAAGATGACTCTCAGTCACTGAAGGCTAGTTTAACGCCAGCAACTAATATATAAGACCTGTTCTCCCATAATAAAGTATCAATTAGTCATCCATCGGATTCAGGCAATACCAAAATATAGGTAAATATGGTTGTTTACTGTCTGCTTAGTGACGTACACTCTTAATGAATTTGGGCAAACGCTTCCCAGGGCACACTAATTCAATTTGATTTGTTTGCCCTTTTTTCAAGTATGGAAAATTCTGCTTGTCTATTTTAATTATTTATGTACTTCGTAAACCGTTAGTTTGGTGATGTATCAAGAGCTCTTGCTAGTTTTGTCTTTTATTAAAATAAGAACCCTTTCAGAAGTGCTGAATGTATGCTAATTTATAAG